TGTTCAATACGTGGCATATTCTAAGTCATCTCGAACTGGAGTTAAATATTTCCACATTGACACCAGTGGAAAAAAAATTTCTTTTAAGGGAGCAACTTGTTTTTGCTACGGTATTTGGTGCCATAGTCTCGTATTTAATTGAGATTTTGGAGAGTCCTGATTTGTATGCTTTTTCGAACGAGCGACATTCGGGCTGTTACATAATAGTAATATGTTTATGCTTGTGGCCTACGAATTTTCGGAGTCCCCTCGAAGTACTGATTAGACTCAGGATAGTCGAAACTGCTATCAAGGCTTAATAAAGTAGTTTGGGAGACATCTGTTTTCGGCGAGGATTACCACCAATTTTATCAGACCATTACCCACCTAAGGTGATTCAAGTCCTTTTTATGCCTAGCCATTTGCAATTTTAACTTCTTTCCTATAGTAAAATTTTTTAAGCATTTCAATTATCGGCTTATTTAAAGATCTACATATATTTGCTAATGAACTTAATTACTCCATTTTTCCAAAATGGTCTTACATTTTCTCATACTGACAAATAAAAAATTTCAATTTTATTTTTAAATGCCAATCTCTTTATTCTTTACACCGTTTAGGTGTTACCTCTTTAAATCCAACTTCCTCTGTGTCATCTGGTCCTTTTCCTGGCGGAGCCTGTCTTGTGAGTCGCTGGCTAGAACACCTCATCTGCCAGTTGGCTTGTAACGCTTTGATCTCCACTTTGTTCCGAATCCGATCTCCACCAGCTTCTTCTGAACAATATGATCTTGAGCTGAGTATGAACGAACTTGAACTGACAAATAAAGCGATATCTGAGGTCGGCCCTTCTTCATGCCTCACTGAGCATAGTATCAAACAACTAGAAATCGATTTAAGTATGTCCTCAATTTTCACCCGTTTGTTTTTGTCCATTGCAAATTCATTAATTACTGCTCACTTGCTTTGAACAAAATAAAACAAAAGAATAATAGTAGCTTTGACATCCAAGATGGTGTGGCTTTTCGTTTGATCGCTCTATAGTGTTGGTTTCAACCCATTTTCGCGACTTGGTTAGAAGGACAGGAAGAGCTTATGGAACGTGCCTAGTTCTGCGTATGCCATGATATTCGGAAGGATTTCCAGCATCTGACTGTTGATTTAGTATATTCCCAGACGTTTCGTCCGCATAATAGTCGGCATCGTCAGTGATAGTCTCTATCTTCACCACAGAGTTACAACTTATCACCTACCATTTTGATAAGTTGTATCTCTGTGCTACGAATTGTGCCTTTACTGAAGATGCGGACGAAACGTCCGCTAATGTACCAAGTAAACGCCTCAGTTCTAGAAATCATCATGAATTCTATGATAGAGCACGCAGAATTTAGTATTTTCCACAAGATCTCCCTTTCGCCTCGACTACGTTTCAATAATGAGGCCAATCCAAGGAATAATAAAATTTTCTTATTCATCAGCGCGTACCATAAAATTAAAATCCTTCATATCCTATTACATTAAGAATAAACGACAATAGAACATCCTTAATAGTTATAGAGACAAATCCTCCCCATACTGAAAGCAAACAAAAGAATAAAACGTAAGCATCTAATCGAAGATGGTATGACACTTGGTATTGTTGCAGTCTCATTTCGATGTATATAACTGGACTGACCTCGTTTTCGCGACTTGGTCGTTTTCTCATTTGGATGCATCCTGTCCTTTGCTATAGTAGTTATCGTTATTCCCAGCATTGGACAGTGGACTTGACACACTCCTATGTGTTTCGCGGTGTGTCATTTTTTGGCGAGTTTAGTGTGGTTCACACCTGTTTACCTTGACCTGTCCTCCCTCTCGATTTTTTGGTACGATTCGGGCCTCCTATCCGAATCTCTCATAGATTTGTTTCTTATCTTTTAATTGACTGATTTTACTCGGTTCCAGTCTCAGTGTTTGTTCTTACCACAGGCAATTTTTTTTAAAGAAGTGGGTTGACCTCGTCGCAACTTGGTCTTGTGTTCAGGGAGACTATGTAGAATGCACCGAGTCCGA